TATTTTTTTGATGCTAGTTTAGTGTTTTCTTATTTCAGTTTTGGATCGTTCATTGCTAGTGTATAAAACAATTTTTGTGTTGTGATTTTGTATTGTGCAACTTTATTAAATCATTCTAGTAATTTTTTGTGGATTCTTTGAGATTTTCTCTGTATAGGATCATGTTATCTATGAATAGAGATTTTTTTTTTTTTACTTCTTCCTTTTCAATCTGCATACCTTTTATTTCCTTTTCTTGCCTAATTCCCCTACCTAGACCCTCCTGTAAAAGGTTAAAGAGCAGACATCCTTGTCTTCCTCCTGATCTTAGGGGAAAAGCTTTCAGTCTTTCACCATTAAGTATGATGTTTGCTGTGGGTTTTTCCTTGATGGCTTTTAATGGGTTGGGAAAGTCCTCTTCCTAATCACCACTCACTTTAAGCTTCAGCCACTTTTCAGCTTCTTGCTATTTTAAAACACATTAGGTCCTTTTATTCCTATTCCTTTATATGTGCTATTGTTTCTCCTAGTTGCAAGTTAGACTGTAACTTTTCCCAAGACAGAGGCTCTATATTTTGCATCCTCAGCAGTTTGCACAGTGCCTGGCACATAAAAGATGCTTAGTAAATGGAAGCATGAACTATTGGTTCTCCTGCTTTCCACCCATTGCTCTCAAGGGCAGCTAAGCAATTCTTCATGGTGACACCCACCCCAGCTTCTAAGCTTAAATATGCTAATGAACATTCAGTCTGGGCAAATGCTTTCACTTTTTCACTCAGGTTGGATGCCAGTGAGATCCAGGTGGATGAAACCATCTTCCTGCTGGAGTCATACATCGAGAGTACCATGAAGAGACAATGACCCAAAAGAATCATTTTCCTCAAAAGATCTGGGGGGATGGAACGAACAATAAAGGAGGTTTCTGGATGCATTATTTGCAGTGCGATAAGTTGTACATTCTTGTGTGAAACTGCCTCTATCCCTGCATCTGAAAGAGTTTGCTGATTCTGGCCGGGTGCGGTGGCTCACGCCTGTAATCCTAGCACTCTGGGAGGCTGAGGCAGGTGGATTGCTCGAGGTCAGGAGTTCGAAACCAGCCTGAGCAAGAGTGAGACCCCGTCTCTACTATAAATAGAAAGAAATTAATTGGCCAACTAATATATATACCGAAAAAATTAGCCAGGCATGGTGGCACATGCCTGTAGTCCCAGCTACTCGGGAGGCTGAGGCAGGAGGATTGCTTGAGCCCAGGAGTTTGAGGTTGCTGTGAGCTAGGCTGACGCCACAGCACTCACTCTAGCCTGGGCAACAAAGTGAGACTCTGTCTCAAAAAAAAAAAAAAAGAATTTGCTGATTCTATCTTAGACCCATCACTGTATTCTCCCATCATCAACTCTTGGCAGTAGAAAGAACCTTAAATGAACTAGATTAGTCATCTATCAAATGCATCAGTTCCCAATCAAGAAGTCAGCCAAGCTTGTGTTTGAACATCCCAACAGTAGAAAACTTCTTCCTAAACAGTCAATTCCATTTTCAAAAGTCTACACCTGTTCTTTATTTTGTTGAGCTCACATTGTCTAGGGAATGTGAAAGACTAACATGGGGAGGTGGTTGCAGGGAGTTATTTTCAGGGCTAGCAGGTGGATTGGCCCAAGCAGTCACACTAGAATCTGGATAGAAGCCACATTCATTTGCCAGTCCCAAGCTTCTAGCACATCTAAAAATATGTATGTAGAACACTTAGCACAATGTCTGGCATATGGTGGGCACATAATAAATTACTGCCTTCTTCTTCTCTATGGTTCCTTAAAAGTGGTGACTCTATCAGTCAGCATTTTTTCAGGAAAAAAAATAAAAGTAAAAAGTATTTAAAAAAGAAAAAATGGTGACTCTAAATTCTTTCTCCCAGAATCATAGATATAATTTGTCCCAGCAGCTTCAATTCATTTAAAGCAATTAGATGTTGTTTTACCAGTATTTGTTCTAATTCTTTAAACATTTGAGTGCAATTAATTGCCAGCCACTATTCTAAACACAATATAAAAAGATAAATAAGATACCATCTCTGCCTTCAAGCCACTCTCCATCATCTAGGGAGTAACTTATGTTCCAAGTACTGGGTCAGGTCTTAGGGATACAAAGGAATAAGCCTTGAGCATACAGGCCTTGTGAGGGGAGACAACTAAGTAACAGAAAGCATTGGGGACCTATAGTAGAAAAGTAAGTGCTATGTCCAGAGGCAAGAAAGCATAAAGGATCAGACAGCAAAGGGAGCATAGAGGAAGTTACAATCTGTAGTTTAAAAGATCAGGATTTGTTTATTTACAAAGTATCCATCTGACATTAGAAAAAGGAGCTCAACTCAATAGCAAAAAATCTGATTTAAAAATGAGCAAAAGATCTCAATAGACATTTCTCAAAAGAAGACATACAAATGGTGACAAATAGATGAAACAATACTCATCACTAATCATCAGAGAAATGCAAATCAAAATCACAATGAGGGGCAGGCGCAGTGGCTCATGCCCATAATCCTAGCACTCTGGGAGACTGAGGCGGGAGGATCACTTGAGGTCAGGAGTTGGAGACCACCCTGAGCAAGAGGGAGACCCTGTCTCTAAAAATAGAAAAAATTAGCCCGATGTAGTGACATGCACCTGCAGTCCCAGCTACTCGGGAGGCTGAGTCAGAAGGATCACTGGAGCCCATGAGTTGGAAGTTGCAGTGAGCTATGACACCACGGCACTCTAGCCAGGGCAACAGAGAGAGAAAAAAAAAACCCACAAGGAGATAACATCTCACCCCAGTTAGAATGGCTTTTATCAAAAAGGAAATAATGAATGCTGGTGAGGATGTGGACAAAGGGAACCCTAGCACACTTGGTAGGAATGTAAATTAGTACAGCCACCATGGAAAAACATCATGGAGGTTCCTCAAAAAACTAAAAATAGGGCCGGGCGAGGTGGCTCACGCGTGTAATCCTAGCACTCTGGGAGGCTGAGGCGGGCAGATTGCTCAAGCTCAGGAGTTTGAAACCAGCCTGAGCAAGAGCAAGACCCCGTCTCTATTATAGATAGAAAGAAATTAATTGGCCAACTAATATATATAGAAAAAAACTAGCCAGGCATGGTGGCACATGCCTGTAGTCCCAGCTACTCGGGAGGCTGAGGCAGAAGGATCGCTTAAGCCCAGGAGTCTGAGGTTGCTGTGAGCTAGGCTGATGCCACGGCATTCACTCTAGCTTGAGCAACAAAGTGAGACTCTGTCTCAAAAAAAAAAAAAAAAAAACAAACTAAAAATAGGAATATGATCCAGCAATTCCACCACTGGGTATACATTCAAAAGAAAGGAAATCCATATAGTGAAGGGATACCTGCACTCCCATGTTTATTGCAACACTATTCACAACAGCTAAAATATGAAATCCACCTAAGCGCTCATCGACGGATAAAGAAAATGTGGTATATATACACAATGGAATACTATTCAGCCATTTAAAAAAATGAAATCCTGTCATTTGTAGCAATATGGATGGAACTGGAGGTCATCATGTTAAGTGAAATAAGCCAAGCACAGAAAGACAAATAGTAAATGTTCTCACAAATAGTAAATAGTAAATGTTCTCACAGAAAGACAAATAGTAAATAGCAACATGGATGGAACTGGAGGTCATCATGTTAAGTGAAATAAGCCAAGCTCAGAAAGATAAATAGTAAATGTTTAGCTCCCATATGTGGGAGCTAAAAAAGTGGATCTCATGAAGATAAAGAGTAGATTGGGGGTTACCAGATACCAAGTAGGGGTAAGGGGGAAGAGGAGTTGATTAATGTGTACAAATATACAATTAGAAGAACTCATGGTTCAATAGATCAGTAGGGTGACTATAACATTAATCTGTTGTACATTTCAAAATAGCTAAAAGAATAATCTGAATGTTCCTAGCATAAAGAAAAATACTTGAGCCCAGGAGTTCCAGGTTACAGTGAGCTATGATTGTGCCACTGCACTCCAGCCTGGGAGACAGAGCAAGACCCTGTCTATAAAAAGAAAGTAAAGACAAATTTAGAGTGGTGGGTATCCCAATCAATTACCCTGATTTGATTATATGAATATATCAAATTATCACATGTGCCCTGAAAATCTGTATATCTATTATGTATCAATTTAAAATAGCAAGTATGTTTATATATATATATATATATATATATATTTTTTTTTTTTACAGAGGAAAAGAATCCCAGAGGGGAGCAGCCTGTTTCTTGGGGAAACTACAAATAGATTATGACTAAAAAGTAGGCTATGGGCCTAATTGGTGCTAAAGAGACAGGGCAAAGACTGGTGGGTCCTGGCTGCTCTGCGCTAAGGAGTTTGTCTTATCCCGAGAGCAGTGGGGAGCAGTATGGATCAGATTTGTACTTTAGAAAGATCACTCTGACCATACTGTAGAGAATCAATTGAGTAGGGAAGGACTATTTGGAGATTTGCAAATAACACTTCAGGCAGAATGTGAAGAAGGCTTGAACTAGGGCACTGGAGGCTGGAGAGACGGAGAGTGAGACATGGAAGTGAGAAAGTTGGAGGTAGAATCTGCGGCATTTGTTTGCCATTTGAATGAAATGAAAGAAGGGAAGGTGGTGTCAAAAATGTTTCTTGATCAGATATCGACCACACAGCAAAAAAAAAAAAAAATGTTTCTTGGGTGTCCAGCTTGGAGACAGATGTAATTAACTAATTTGGGGTAATGGCTTCTGTAATAGGTGTGCAAAGTGTTGTGGAAGGTGCTTACCGTTCGGCCTAGGGCCGGTAGGAGGTAACGTGAGCCCAGAATCATTCGGTCTGGGAATCATTGTCCTAAACAGAGAAGAATGAAAGAAAAGGGGAGCTGAAGAATTAGAGGTATTCTTCTTTGTCGTTAACGTTATATCCATGGATCTTCCACAAGAGTTGTGCCAGTATTTCCCGGGGACGTTCTGAAACCCGGCTTCCACCCGCCACCAGAGGGCAGCAAGCGGGCCGCAGCCACCTCAGAGCGGCGTTATGGCCGCGACGCGGGTGCTGCTGCTCCTGTCCGGGCGTCCGGAGTCGGTGAGCTTCGCACAGAGTGTGTGTGGCCTCCTGGGCGCTGGATCAGAGCTTGGGCCGTGGCCCACGTACTGCAGCCTGAAGCGAGGACAGCTCGTCCTCTCGGACAGGCCATTCCCAGGCGCCTCGGCTAGGCTTCCGCTCCAGGTCGGGAGAAGGGGGCCCAGCGCGGGAACGTGAAGGGCGGGAAAGGCACTGGGATCGGGTGGGAACTGGCGGCGAGAGGCCGGGCCCGGCCAATCACCCCGACGTGGCCTCCTCCCCCACTGCGCGGTGTTGCCCAATATTTGAAGGTCCCGCCCACCCACTCCTGCTTCCTTCAGAAGCCTTACCCAGGTGACTCCCTCCCACCAGCGACCGGCTTTCTGCCCTTTTGCGGCCTTCAACCAGCAGCCCAAGGCCCCCGGGGCCCAGCTGCCCGCAGATCGAGGTGTGGATCTGGGCGTGGCCGTCATTCTGCAGTCCAGTGACCAGACTGTTTTGTTAACCCGAAGGACTCGCACCCTCCGCATTTCCCCCAATCTCTGGGTACCCCCAGGTGAGTGCCCCGGGGGCAAGGCACCAAGTCCAGGAAGGAAACTTGCCCTTTCTCCCTGCAAAGCTCCCAGTCTCGGGATAGAGAAGTGGGCCCAGTACTGTGGCACGTTCTCAATCACAAGAGGCTGCAGCTCCATCTGTGTCCACTGGAGTGTAAACAGCAATTGAGGGTCCCTGGTCAAGATCGCCACCATTCACCTTTTCATCCCACTGTTGTTTCAGGTGGGCATGTGGAACTCCATGAGGAGGTAACCAGTCAGCTGACCCATTGTGCACCTCACCCTGAGCCAAGGAACTCATGTGTGGGACCACCTTGGGTGTGGGCTGAGGAAGGGGCAAATGAAAGGACATGGAGTCAGGCATTGAACACTCTGACCTGCCTTCTCTGACTCCCAGCTGCTGGATGGAGGGCTTCGAGAGCTTTGGGAGGAGACTGGACTACAGCTGCCCCAGGGCCAGTTTTCTTGGGTCCCTCTGGGGTTATGGGAGGTGAGACAGGGACCTGGGAGAAGGCTCTCCCTATTGAAACAAGAGACCTCAACTACCCTCCAAAGGCCATAGATCAGCCCTTACCTTCCTTGGCTGGGGGAAAAACAGTGGCCCATGGATGGTTTGGAGTCCCCAGATCCACAACTCTCCCCCGTGTCCCTGCTGCATCTCTACCATCCACTTCCTCAGCTTTTGGTCAGCATTTTGTTTCACCCTAAAGCTATGTTTACAAAGTCTCAAAAAGAGACCAGAAGTGCTCACTTTTGCTGTTTTCTTCTCTTAGTCTGCCTACCCTCCTAGACTGAGCTGGGGTTTCCCCAAATACCATCACGTTGTTCTGTATCTACTTGTGATCTCCCAGGAGTCACAGCAGCAGCTGCAGGTAGGGCTGGCAGTCAAGGGAGGAAATGGGGCCCAGGGGAGCCCAAGCAACATAGTTCTGATTGTGATTAAGGAGGGGGCAGGTATCAGAGATAACCAAGAACACCCAGTAGCATCCCCCACCCCCGCCCCACTCCATTCCCCCCTATGTAGCCACCTGCCGGTAGGCTGTGACCAAGAACAGGCCTCCCAGGGAAATGCCTTGACTGAGGATCAACATGTCTAACCCCAGGCCCGGATCCAACCAAACCCAAGTGAGGTGAGCGCCTGTATGTGGCTGGGACCAGACGTAGCAGCTGCAGTGGCTGCCACAGAGGATGGGACAGAGATGCCCAGACTTTCCCCCCAGGACCTACCACCCTCTGTCCTGTAAGTAAAAGCTTCTCCCTGAGCTTCCAGCACACCAAGATGTACACATTGAGAATTTCGGTTTCTATCCCCTTCTCAGGGTGAAATGTGTCGTGGGAGAGATTTAGGGAGTTAGTCAGCTGATTAAAATAAGTACACATGAGATCCAAGACAACGACCATCAAACTCCAAGGGTTCCTGCTCTAAGTGGCTAGCATTGAAGATCTAGGTTTGAGTCTCAGCTCTCCCATAGGGAAAAGTTATTTAACCTTCCTTGAACCTGTTTACTTTCTATAAAATGAGGTTAACACCACTCCACTCACATCCTGTGGTAGTTGGGAAGATTAGATGACCTAACATACAGAAGTTCTTAGTAAACTACAAGGCACAGCCCAGACCAGAGTTGTCATTATGCAGTGCAATGGAACTAGAGGAGGATGGAAGAGCCCGACGACCTTTGGTCCTGCCCATGTCCACACTGCTGCAGACTACCCCAACCACAGCAGAGGACAAAGAGAGGGTCAGCACTGGAACCAAGTTTGCCCTCAGGCTCTGGCTGCAGCATCTGGGCAGGTAAAGGTAAGGAATGACTTGAGAGCTCCACAGCATTCGGCTAGAATGGTCTAGTGTTTTCATGGGTATGGGGGAGAGGAAGGAAAAAATAACAACTGCTCTTGGAAATCCTTAGGGTAACACCCCCATCACGTGAAAGGGGAGCTTACATGGACCCCAGACCAGCAAAGGAAGAACAGAACATGGACCCTCTTCCCCCAAACCAGGGGTCTGGGAAATGAAGTACATAACCCCTTCCCTAGTCCACCTCCATGACACAGAACATTCACAATCTTTATTATGGGTGAGAACTTCACTACAACTTTGGGAGTAAAAAGTAAAATTACAACATAGATCCTAGGCCCTGGAGAAGCCTGAAAAAGGAGATTGCGGGGGAGGACACAAGGGTCCGCCTCTCTCCAGAAAGGTGCAGAATGAGCCAGGCCTAACCACAGGGCCATGGGCCTCTAGAAGCTTAAGTCCTGGCCTGTTGGCATAAGAAACATCATGAACTTAAATATATAAATAGAGAGAGAACCAGGTAATAGGCCAGGCCCTGCTCCCAAACCCCTGGGGATCATGGCTAAGGCCTTATCTCCTCCTCGGTCATACTGGAAGCAGGAGGCAAGGGAAGTCATCTTTGGAGTATTTTGGTTTTTCTTGTTTATGTACAAAAAATCCACAACCCAAAATAAAGTTCTCTGTCCGTCTCTGAAACAGCCTGTCTCAGTTTCTCCATCTGTCTGTGTGGCCAAAGGGAATGGAATGGACATGAAAAGAAAATGGGAAGAAACAGAGCCATGGATCTGGGAATGGGAAGAGAGGGTATTTGAGGAACAAGAGAAGGGCCCCTTCCCCAAAAGGCTCTACACATAGTCAAGGCTGAGGATTCAGTCCTTCCTCAAATTCACATCCCATCCCATTTTTGCCTCCCACTGCCTAAGTCAACATGTCCAAAGGAATGTGCCACCATCTAAAGAACATTTCCAAAAGTAGACCCCAATGTCCTTAAAAAGAGGTTAAATATTAACCTTTTGGGTGCTGGCCTTGTCAGGCAGAGATGAGGCCAAAAGTAGGTGTCCATGAAGGTCTGGCCTTTGGCCAAACCCCTCCACCCCCGAGGGGTCGGAGTAGCCAGGGGTCAGGACTCCACAGCATACTTGATCGGTGTTGGGGGCAATGAAGTTTCCATAATCCAAGGAACTCAGTCCAGGGAAATGATGTCTGACCGACAGCCAGTCAAAGAGGGACCTGAGGGCAGGGGTCCTCCATGCCCCTCCCTCAAGGCCCCCCCAGGGGCCACAATGCTGCTGACACGGCCAGGAGGGGGTGCTGGAGTGGAGCTGCGGTGGGAGCTCCCCAACGTGGGGGCCAGTGGGCCCAGAAAGTGGGGAGGGGTCCCCCGGTACTGGAAGAAGTGGCCAAGGGCATCCTGTTCATCTAGCGAGGTGATGACGGAGGGACCATAGTGCTGGGAGGAATCAAGAGTGTAGTTTAAGATCTTATCCTTTACCCACCTCCCAATCGCTCATCTCAGAAATATCAACCCCTATGGATCCCAAGGTAGTCTCTGAGAAGCAAGAGAGCCTTTCTCCCCTACTTCCCCACACCCCACCCCTTCTCCCTGCCTTGAGGGGGCCCCTCTAGCTTGCTAAGTTCTTAGCCTGGTGAGTCTGAAATGTGCGGAATGTCTAGTTGGGACAGGCATGATGCTCGAAGTGCACAAGGGCATATGTCGGGGTGAGTAGGCAGGGGCAGAACTACACGAAAAACTCTGGAGACAGAACAGTAACAGGGGACCTAGGAAGACAGAGGTGGGAATCCAAGGAAGAATCTGTGGGGCTGAGGAGGGAAATTAGCCGCCCACACCCCAACCCCTCACAGAAAAGCAGATCTAGGCCCCCAGGGAAAATGTGAGAGGGAGTGGTCCTGTCAGTGCCTAGAAAGGAAGCTTCAGAGACCTGAGATCTTCAGGAGGAGAAGGAACTACTTACCTGACTCTCAGTCTGAAGGAAAGAAAATAAATCTAAACCTGGCAGGAAAAGAAAAATCAAAATCAACCTCCTATCTGACCCTTTTACTGCTAAAAGACAAAGAAGTTCCTTGGATTGTGGCCCCTTGCAGGAGAACCAGGTGGCTTTGAAAAGGAGCGGGGGGTTCTGATGTGGTTCTGGGGAGGATGTGGCAGCACACAGCCACGTTATGATCAGTGTCATACCTTGGATGTCTGCCCCCAGTGGGAAGGCAGGTGGGTACTCATGTAGTGGTAGACCGGACAGGAAATCCCCGCCCAGCGTGCCCATAGCAGGGCTCCGCAGCACCGAGGATGACTGGTGACCAGACGTCAAGACTCTGTGAGTAGAGAGGAGATGGGGCAGCTAGTAAACTACAGATGCCCTCACCCAGCTCAGCTTCCCAGGCTCCTTCTCTATCCCCTCCACCTTCCCCTTGCCCCAGGGTTTGCCCAATGATCACAATCAGTCCTGACTTCTTCCCCTTTCCCTTTTGCTACAGATTTACTATTCTCTCATACCCTTTGCTTCCAGGTAAGGCTGGGATGGCAGCTGACGTGACAGAACAGTGCTTCTTGGTCGGAGGCAGATCCTCCTCATCTGATGAGCTTTCTATTGTCAAGTCAATAACTTCAACCTTCTTCTTATTCTCTGATGCATTTCCCTCTTGGACTGGGCTGTACTGGAGGCCTGCGGGTGGTTAAGAAGACTGTGTCTCAGAGAAGAGGTCATCCAAGATTGAGCTCAGCTAGGGAACAGGGGGTCACTCACCATCCAGCCCATACCCTGGCGGGGGGCAAACCTCAGATGCCTCCTTCTTGGGTTTCATTGGACACCAGGATCCATCTTCCATGAACTGGATCTCATCACAATCCGAACAGGAATTAAGAATCTCCATGAATAAACTGGGGGAGGGGAGAAATGGGAATTCATGGAGCTGGGAGATGGCTAGAACAGTAACCAGAGAGTTCTGTGACTCACCTCCCTGTATCTCAGTATCCTTGTCTGTAAAACAGGGATATTATCCACCCTACTGGACCTCTCTGAGTTGTAACTGAACAACATGAGGTATATAAAAGAGCTCTGCAAACTTTAAGTGCTAGGTTTTAAATTAATACAATCTGAGCACCTGTTACATGTAGGACAAGGAATAAGACAGAAGGAGCAGAGATACAAAACTCCATAAACCATCTCTAAGACACTGGGAACAAGGACCATAATATAGGCTCTGGAGGGGGGCAAGACTAGCTAGATCAGAACACTCAGGCCCTCAAAAGAACCTTATTGCTATGTTCAGTGGAAGGTCAGGCAGTTGTTATAGACAACATACTATAACAGTTCAATACATTGGCTCTGCCACTTACTAACAATATCAACTTGAACAAGACTCAATCTCTCTAGGCCTCAGTTTCTTTATCCGTAGTGATAGTACCTATCTCATAGGGCTATTTTTGTTTTTCTTCATTTTTTTCTGTATGAGACTATCACTTGCCAACCATGGGGTTATAAGGATTCAATGAGACAATCCATGCAAAGTCTCGGTACGACGTCCTGTATATACTAAATTCTTAGTGATGTCGTAAGTATCTATATGTATTGGTAAAGGGGATGGATAGGGTTCATGTGAGGGGAAATAAGCCATTTAAATGAAAACGGGGTCCTAGTGGGTTTCCTAGGTAAGGGAAAGCAAAATGGCCCTACCCATCAATGATAAGAGATTCATAGGGAGCCTTCTTGTCACACACAGGACATGTCCACGTTGGCTTCTTCTCATTCATCTGTAGATAAAGGGCAGCATCGAAGCTCTGCAGGTGGGCGCAGGTGAGGGCACGACAAGGGACAGTCAGGCGCATCTTCCCTAGCTGAGGACAGGTGAGTTCTCTAGTCAGAGTCTCCACTCTGGTTGCATCCCAGAAAACCTCATTTTAGTATTCCTAGGAACCCTTTTGAGTCCAAAGATTTAACCCAATCCCCTCCCCCTTCCCTTTTTCCCCTGTACCCACCGGGCACATGAGTGACACCCGGAGACTCGTAGTAGCCACCTCACTGTCAGGGTCAGCAGTCAATTTTTCCTTGACTGAAACAAGAGTGAGGCAGAGCCATGAGGTCAGCAAAGCTGGAGGAAGCCCAGGAGTTGGTAAGGCCAGGAGCAGATGGCTCTGGCTGACAGGCATGTGGGTAGAGTCTTTGGGGGCCAATGGCATGTTACATGGAGGGGGTCTGGGATCTGGATTATGAAGCCTGGGTGTGTGGGAGAGATTTGCCCATCCCTGAAGATACTTAAACATAGCTGGGTGACACTTTGGCTATATTAGAGATGATCTAGAAGGAGTTGAAGCATTGTGTGAGGGTTAGATTAGATGATCCTAAAGACTCTTTCTAGTCCAGAGAACCCATAAACTAGCAGGGCTGCAGTTAGAGTCTATGAGGTGCAAAGCAGATATATGACTGGGAATGCAAGAGTGTCACTCACTGCCTGGGAGTGGTCTGACTCAACCATGAAGACTAGTAAGGGATATAGGGGAGGGTTGGGGCTCATGTGAGAGGGGAAGCAAGTTGTCACAAGAAAGGTATAGATTTGATTATGAAGGCTGGAGGGCCAGGAAGACTTGGATCCTGATCAGGGCCAGGGAGGAAGGATATTACTCACTCAGTGCCCGGGAGTGGTCTGGGTTCCGGATACCCTTTGCTCTGAGTTTTTGTAGAAGGGTCCCTGCAGTCAACTGCCTCACCAGGTACACAGACAAGGAGTAATTCTACTTGGGGGTGGGGGGAGACAATTAGCTCTGCTTCTCATACCACCACCACCCACTTTTGTCGCATGAGGACCAGAGACAGTGGGTAAAGGCAGAGAGATCCATAAGGAAGACATTTCCCCAACCCAGGACACTAGACGATTCCCCTTCACTCCCTGCAGGCTTTTCCCAGCACCATGCTTTAGCTGTGCTCACCCGTCCGAATTCAGATGACCAATTGACCACGATGGTGTTGGGAACAGTGGCCGAGAGTCGAGCCAGGGGTGTGATGTTGATGGGGCGGCTGGGCCTTTTGGGCTCAGCCCCATTCTTGGTTGGGGGGAGATAACCCTGGGGAAGGGAGGGACTGGTCAGTGGAGAGGTAGCTCTGGGAAGGGGCTCTGCTCTAACAACAAAAGATACCTTGTCTCAAGTTACTCACTCCCTAAAGGAAAGGCCAGCTCACTTACTGACCAAGGGGATGGGGGCCCATTCGGTGACTCATAAAACTGGGGCACTGTCTAGGGCTGTGTGTGGGGTTCACTCCTGGGGAGAAAGGAGAGCTTATTTATTGACCAAAGAAATAGGAACCCACTCACTGAGTCCCTGAGGAGGAGACACAGGGATACCTCACTTCTTCTAACTCTCAGCTCTGGGGCCATGACTTCTAAGAAGTCTTTCCTGAATCTTTGGGTTGAACTAATTAATATCCCTCCTCTGGGTTCTCACAGAATCTTTGTTCAGCTCTATCTTAATATAGGGCTGATTATATTGATGATTCAATCAGTAAAATGAACACCTCCTATGTGCTAGGCACTGTGCTAGGCATGTCTCTTTCATAATAGGTTTATAGTTAATATTTATGAATTGAAATGGGAAGGAGTTACTGCCAAAAGAAGGGAAGAGCATTTACCGGCAGGGGGCACAGTTTCCCATTGACCTTGACAAAGAGGTTGGGGGGGAAATAATCCTCCTGGGGACAGCTGGTCTCACAGAGACAGAACCTGGAGAGATGAGAGGATGAAAGGGTGGAAGTTGCTTGAGTTGAATCTGGCAGAGATGCAGGCAACCCCAGAAAATCAGTCACGGATGTCTATAGCTTTCAGCATCCACAAGAGTCTCAGGGCTGGGGTGGGCAGTGGCAGAGCAGGGATATCTCCTAGGAATATCTGTCCGGCCCCTATTTCACGCTCACTCACAGTGGGAAACCAGCAGTAGAGGGAGGATCAACTTACCTTAGCTGCACCTGGATGGTATAATCACATTTGGCTCCTGGCAGAACCTCTCTGTAATGGAGGGAGAAGGAAAGATGTCAGTATGTGGCCCGCAGAAGGCAGGGATGAATGGACAGAGACGGAAAGTTGGATTTCTAGGGGATAGAGAAAAGACATACAAAAGAACAAGAGACAAGCAGATATAAGAGGATGGAGAAGAAAGAGAACAGGGCAGAAGAGAAGAAAGCCAGAGAGCAGAGTCCAGGGGTAACCACCCAGGGAAGAGGCAGGAGGACTAAAACAGATGTACCTGGATGTGAGGATCTGCTGCACTTGCTGGGGTGTGAGGGCAAAGGTAAAGTGCGCTTCCTCAAACCGCTGGCTAGAAGTGGATGCTGGGGATACAAAGGGGCAGTTATTCCCAAGCCCATGCACAGGCAGCCATGGAAGTTGCCCCCATCCTAGGTTGCTGATCCCACAGGTTTAAGCCTAAGAAAGGCTTGGGGAAGAAGCATGGAGTCCAAGAAGACTAAAGGATCGCAAAGAGCCATACCAAGGGTGGTGGGCCGGATGAGCTCCCCGTAGACTTCATAGAAAGGCAATGGTTTCATGGTGACATCCGGGTGCACAGGCTGGGGCAGAGGGGGGTGCATGTCTACCTCACGCTTGGGGCCCAACAGAGTGCCAGGGGCCAATAGGGCTGGGGGAATGGGAGCTAGCGGACCAGGTGAGCCTACGGGAGAGGTGCCGGGCGGCAGGGAGAGCAGCGAGAGATCAGAGGGCCCCAGGGTCTTCCGGGGAAAGCGTCGGCGATAAAGCTCTTTGATCTTCATCTGGACACTGGGGGCACAGCTGGACTTGAGGAGGTGCAGGGCCTTGGCCAGGAGTTCGTGTTTGCGTCCACTCTTGTTCCGGCCAGCAAAGCCGAGAAGCACCTGGAGCTCAGACACCCGGAAACTCATCACCATGTGCTGTGTAGAACAGAGAAGACTGAGAATCCTACCTTGCTCACAGGCCTATCTTGCCAAGGACATGGGCTGAGCTACCAGGTGGCCAGTGCCTCTTTCCCTCCAGCACTGATCAGAAAGATGCTTGCTGCTAGTGAATTACTGCCAGGCAGCTGACCCAGACAAAGGTACATCACAGTATCATTTTAGCACTACCACCCCCAGAGCTTGAGCAACCACATCTCCCCATGCCTGGAAGTTGACCAGAGTTGGGGCAGGGAATGGCAGACAGCAAGCCATCCACAGACACATATGAGTCCACGACAGCCTCCTACATACATCCATCCCTGCCTCTAGCCTGGACACTCCTTTAAGCTGCTTATCTCCTCTTCTGCTTTCTCAGACTCTCAGACCCATTGCAGCCTCTTGGAAAGAGTACAGGAGACAGGGAGAAGGAGGGAGAAAAGAGAGGATTCAGGCCAGACAGCCCCACAGGGAAGAAAGGGCCAGGTGGCTGAGGATTGTGCCCCAAAGCCCATCCCTCCCAACCACCTCAATCTACCTCAGCTATTTTCCCCAAGCCTCTGAAGCTTTTGTGGTCTGGGTTCAGTGCTCATAACTTCCCTCCCCCAAATTCTTTCTTGGCATCATTTACATAACCACCCTTCCTTAGTCCTATTTTTCTGGGAGGGAAACAGGACGAAAACTGGGGGGTGGGAGTAACAGTGAATCACTGAGTCCAGGTATCCTGTCTGTTTACACCATCTGCCAGGAACTATTATCCTGCTTGTCTCCTACATAGGAAAAATAAGTGATCCACCCACATACACACCCCTACAAGGTGGGAGATGAGAGGACAAAGCTCTAAACACAGGCCTGGAAGAATGAGGAGAAGGCCCCCGAAACCAAGACACAGGATCTCAAGCTCCTCTAAAAGTAGTTGGACCCAGTGGTTGGACCTCCAGCCTTCCCAGGACTGGCCCTCCATTTCAAAGGGCAGAACAAGTCCAGGAGGCAGGGGAATGAATCCAGTAGTTTAAGGTTCTGTCAGACGTCCTCAGATGTAGTTACCCTCAGGACTCTGAGTGGTAGTGGGAGGACAGCTCTCTCCTTAAAGAACTCCCTTCTGTGAATCTCTAGGAGACCTTGTCATGGGAGGGCTTCGCTAGCCTGCCACCATTCTTCCCCTCACAGGAGGCTTTGTCTTGGACCCCCTTTGAGGAATGGGATGAAAAACTTGCTCCTCTACCTTTCTCCTCATCCTTATCTCTTCCGTCTTGTCTTCATTTCTCCATTAGCTTTGCCTGTAACTTCCCTCCTTCCTATCCCATAGTTTCACACTCCTGCCTCCTCCCAAAGACAGTAATTCACTAAGGCAGGACCTTCCTCCCTGCCTCCAGCATGCTGCGGCCCCACCCCTCGAGGTATCCGCCCGCACAGCCCCGCCCCCTGTATCTCAGCCGCCTACTGGTGCTTCCCAAGGCTCGGGTCCCGAGAGCAGCCCCAAAGCCTCCATCGTCTCAGCAGCCTCCTCTACATCTGCCCCCCAGTCCCATCTCTACATCTGCCCCCAACTGTCGCATCTCTTGGCCTTGATCGACTCTCCCCCTGTGCCTCTACAGCAGCTTTGACGCCCCGGCCCTACCCCTACAACTGCCCCTACTACTAAATCCGACTTCTACCCCTCGTCCCCGCCCCTTGCGCCTCGGCCCCCAGCAGCTGCAATTCCCCTCGGCCCCACCCCTACATCTGCCCCGCAGCCCCGCCCCCGGAGCCCCGCCGCAGCCCTTCCTCGCCCATGCTCAGCAGCCAGTCCCTGCCACGTCGTCTGCGCCCACCGCTCCCTCGGCACCCAGTCTAGGTCGCTTCCCGGACTCGGCGTACCGCCGGGCTCAGTCCAGATGGGGATGGGGGAGGGGGCCGGTACCTTTAATTCGCCCAGCTCCGCCATCTTGAGACATCGCAGGCGCCCGAGCCAGAGCCCGAGCTCAGGCCCAGGGACCGGCGCACAACTCTCCACCCCGGCGCCGGCCGCAAATGCCGCCTGCTCCGCCCCGTCCGGCCCCCTATACCTCCCCTTCTCGGCCCCGCCCGCCTGGCTCCGGACAAGCCCCAGCCCGAGCCCCTCCCTCCGCAGCCGGACCCAGCCGCTACACGTCTCCGGCCGGTGGGCAAGACGGGGGAGTGGACGGCCCCAGAGATCGCGGCGTCCCCGAGGCTACCGGGGAGGGGGCGGGCCCGCAGTGCCTGGGGAAGGGGGGCTTTGCCACGCCAGAGTTGGGAGGGGATGAGCTTTTAGGGATCCCAAGACACTTGAAAGATGGAGGGAAAGTATCGGGAACTGCTAGATCTCAGAGACATGGGGGAGGGGGCAGCGAAGTTGGAGCGAACACCCTCGTCTCCATCTCTACAAGTTTGGCCGACTAAAACCAGAGTTCTGCCAACTCGGGAAATGGGTGAGCTCCGATGCAGTTTGGAGAAGCCATGGAGTCGTGAACCAGTCAGTTCCAGACGGCTATTCTCGATCCTTCACCGCCCCCCCCCAACACACACACACCAACTACAGTGTAGCTCGCGGTCCGGCCGCAGGACTCAAACTCGCCAGCAGAAAAGTTCGGTGCGGGGAGCGGGACTTACCAGGACAGTTGCGGGGAGTGGGGAGAGGGCTCGGGAGGCGCGGAGGGCGGGCAGGGAGGCGGGCTAGGGGGCCGGCGCGGCTCCGGCCGTCGGCACGCCCGGGGTCCGGTCCGGTAGCCGGACGCGGCAGCCGCAGCTCCGCCGGGCGGAGCACTCCGGCTGGGGCCGCCCCCTACAGGGCAAGCCCTCCGGGACGGCGGCGAGGGGAGAGGGGCGGAGCCCCAGCCGGGAGAGGGAGGGACTCCGAGCCGGCGCTCCAGAGATTAACTCCTCGAGCGAGTGGTTCCCAAGAGAGGAGTTTTTGGACATCATCATTCTCACTGCCGCTGTGACCCGTCGCGCTAATGTACGGGTTTAGAGTGGAGGCAAGCTGCTAAGAAGACAGTGTGTCAGACAGCGAGAGTATGAGGCAAAAAAAAATTTTAAATTAAAAAAACGAAGTGTAGACCAGTGATGTGACTGCATAACGAGGTTCTTCCTTGAAGTGAGACCTCTCCCTTGGGGAAAGCCTGGGCTGCTGAATCCAAAGTGTTCCTAACCGTAATTCTGCATGTGATCCAACACCCTCTACCCCAAATACAGAGACTCCATTCCTTTGGGGTACCTGAAGGTGAACAGATTTTCTTACTACAAGGGGCTCTTTTGGAGCATCTGAGCTACCCTACCAAAGCCTTGGACCCTACAGAGTCCCTATCTCAACCAAGCCAATTACTCACAGGCAGGCCCCAGGGTAATCATGAAAAAGCCAACTTTAGGGCAGTGTACCCATACTAGGAACTAGAAAGACTCATAGCCTTTTGTTGTTGGCTGAGACCTAAGTGATAATGCAGTCGTTCAATAAATAAGTGCTGATCAGGTATTTTTAGGTGTGGGGACATAAAAAGCTTGCAGAAGTAAACAGTCTAGCAACAGACACAAGACATGTTAAGCCCATAATCATCATACAAAATAGTGCTTTAATAATAGGAATAATCCCCTCTTTTAGCTTAAACCTTCAGTATAATCCTGCCCATGAGGGCCCACCCAAGTCATAAGACTGAAGGTGCCAGTCTACCAATATTCTCAGACACCTGTTTTTTTGTTGTTGTTGTTTGTTTGTTTGTTTGTTTTGAGTCAGAGTCTCACTCTGTTGCCCCGGTTAGAGTGCCGTGACATCAGCCTAGCTCACAGCAACCTCAAACTCCTGGGCTTAAGTGATCCTACTGCCTCAGCCTTCCGAGTAGCTGGGTCTACAGGCATGCACCACCATGCCCAGCTAATTTTTTCTATGTATTTTTAGTTGTCCAATTAATTGCTTTCTATTTTTAGTAGATATGGGGTCTCACTTTTGCTCAGGCTGGTTTCAAACTCCTGAACTTGAGCAATCCGCCCACCTCGGCCTCCCAGAGTACTAGTATTACAGGCATGAGCCACCGTGCTTGGCCGCAGACACCTGTTGAATAGCACAGCTACTTTGTGGTTTTGTCCCTAGGGAAGATGGCTACCTCTCCCGACAAGGTTTTTTCCTTGCTGCTTTGCTGCCCAAATTGGTGGGCCCCTCAAGCTCAAAGTAGGCCCACGTATTTAATTCTAAATCCCAAATGCTCCCCTCCAACGCTTGAGTCTTCATCAGGCCCTGCACTCTTTTTTTTTTTTGTCTGCTCAGTCCTCTAGCTCAAAAGTCACTATAGTTTGTATTTTTGAGAATGTTCAGTAGTTGCAGGGGAAGAGGGTACAGAGGATTATAAAAAGGGATGGAGGGGGGAACTTTTGGGAGTGATACATATGCTCATTTTCTTGATCGTGTGATGATTTTATGGGTATGTACATATGACAATACTTATCAAATGTGTATGTTATATAGATGCAGTTTATCATATGTCAATACAGTTGTAAAAATGTAAAAGAAAGTCAACCTCACCTTGATTCCTAGTGATTTCATGAAGGAGGAATCTCCTTTAAAAGTTAAATTAAGGTTATATGTTCTAACATCCCTACAGGATAACAGAAAACTGGGAACCAGGGCACCTGAATCTCATCCTGAGTGCAAGCTTCATGAAGAAACTTTTCTGTGCTGTTCAAACTATTAATATATCCCCAGTGCCTGGCACATAGTAGACTCCTTAAATATATGTTTAATACATTAACGTTACCAGGCAAAAGAGATTAACTGGCAATCAGAGACAAAGTTTCAGATCCAGGGCATTCAAAGACAGTCTGAACCTGACCATGGCCTACCAAGTTTCACTTACACTTATCTACACACTCCTACATCTGAAGTCTGAGGAATGAGGAGATGAAGCAGGAAGTCCTGTTAAACAGACAGCCCAGGAAGAATAAAGGGAACATCAGGATTAGAGTTACTTTGGGGAAAAATATTTATGAAATCAAGGAAATTTTCAGGGCTTGGGTTGTTGGGGTAACAGTTTGTGGGGTTGTATGGAGAAAGATTAAGAAAACAAGGGCCTGGGGAAGGTTCTACTCCTGTGTTAACATGAACATCACTCACCACCCCCACAGCTCAGCCCATCCTGGGATCAGCTTCCAGGAGCCCTGGAGGGAGCCAAAGGCCTGGCTTCCATTACCAAAGCTGTTTCCTGACTCATACTTGAGCTTAGCCAAATGATCTGCCCCTCTCTGGACCCTTCTCTCTGCAGTTTATTCTTCCCACCCCACACACCCTATATAATGAGGAATGTAACAGTCCTTTTATATTTTTTGGTAATTGAGAGCAGGTAGGCAAAGAGAGGTTCTGTTCCCTTTAAAAGAAATGACTCGGACCCTTTTGATGTTCTTCCTTTGAAAGCTGCACCTCTTCTCCTTTTCTCCATCAATCCCTCCTCTCTCCAATCCTCCAGCCTTAAAACAGTCCTGTGCCCATCCACACAAACCCCAAAGGAGCCCTGCACTTTCTCTAAGATCTGATCTAAATATTTCAGCTATTCATTTTCCCCCTCGGTCAGACTCTGGAGCCAGGCTCTGCAACACTTGTGTAGCCCCTGTCCTCCACCGCAGCCCCTCCTTTCTCTCACCCTGTCTCTTCACTGCTGCTGCCTGACCCAGCTCGACCCAGCACAACCCAGCAGAGGGCGGGCTGAGAGAAAGAATGGGGAGGGATCAGTGTAGGCCACCAAACCGCAATTCCAGATTTTGGAGGAACTCACTGCCTCTTTCTCACCTAGCAGTCTGGATGGTGGAGGGGTGAGGAGGGGAGGAGACCCAGGGGAAATGGCCAAGAGAGATACATTTTTTTTCAGTCTGAGAACAGGACCAAAAGGAAGCAGCAAACTCTGAGTATCCCTTCATTCTTTTCCCAGGAATCAGACTTTTCATCCCTCTTTGTACTTGGTACAAAGAACAGTGACCACAGGAGATTGCGTGTGTCAAATCTAGACACATTGTTTAACACATGATAGAATATTTTAGATTGTATGTCTTGAAGAAAACCCAGGTCCTTCAGTCTCCCCTTCTCCTTAATAAAAGATCATGGTTTCAGGTGTCCTAAGGTAGAGAAAAAAGATTAGAGTTGTGTCAATAAACAGATTTGAGCAAGAGAAAAGAGTGTCAAATCCCATTTTCACAGAGGGCTGTTTTTCAAACAGTGAGTCTTGATCCATTAGTGGATGAATTATGACCAATATTTTTTGGTGTAGTATAATAGCAGAGACTAGGATAGAAATATTATAGTAAGGGTAAGTATTATTTCAGGTATGTACATACAGGATGTAAAATGCATTTCTTACTGCAGATCATAATCAAAGTTTTTCTGAAAGCTGCTGACTTGGCCATCTGTGATCAAAAAGAAAGGAAAAACTTGGAAGCAACCAAGACATCCTTCAGTAGATGAATGGATAAATGAACTGTCATACATTCAGACAATGGAATATTATTCAGTGCTAAAAAGAAGTGAGTTATAAAGACATGAAGGAAACATAAATGTATATTACTAAATGAAAGAAACCAATCTGAAAAGGCTACATACTATATGACTTTATGTGACATTCTGGAAAAGGCAAAACTATGGATATAGTAGAAATATCAGTGGTTGCCAGGGGTTGGGGGGAAGGAAGGCATAAATAGGCAGAGCACATAGGATTCTTAGGGCATTGAAAATACTCTGTTAATATAACAGTGGATACATATCATCAGAAATTTGTACAAACCCATAAAATGTACTGTACCAAGAGTGAACTCTAATGTAAATTATGGACTCTGGGTGATGAGAATGTGTCAATGTAAGTTCATTTATCATAACCAATGTACCATTCTGGTGAGGGATGTTGATCGTGGGGGAGACGATGCATATGTGGGTGCAGAGGATATATGGAAGATCTCCATACCTTCTACTCAATTTTACTGTGAACCTAAAACTGTTCTAAAAGATGAAGTCTACTTTAAAAAAAAAAATTTTTTTTTTTTTTTTGAGACAGAGTCTCACTCTGTTGCCCGGGCTAGAGTGCTGTAGCATCAGCCTAGCTCACAGCAACCTCAAAATCCTGAACTCAAGCAATCCTTCTGCCTCAGCCTCCCGAGAAGCTGGGACTACAGGCATGCACCACCATGCCTGGCTAATTTTTTCTATATATTTTTTATTTTTTAATTTTTTTTAATTTTTTTATTTTTTTAATCAACTCTTTTATTTATATATATATTTTTTTTCTCCCACCAGTTCTGGTAGCAATGTATCTATATATATTTTTAGTTGGCCAATTAATTTCTATTGTTAGTAGAGACAGGGTCTCGCTCTTGCTCAGGCTGGTTTTGAACTCCCAGCCTCAAGCAATCCGCCCACCTCAGCCTCCCAGAGTGTTAGGATTACAGGCGTGAGCCACCATGCCCGGCCCTTTTCTATTCTAGACCGAAAAAAGGAATGAAAAAGATTTCTTTCCCTCACTCCTCTTTAGACAGAAAAAAAAACAAACAACAACAACACCCAGCACCATCTGGCCTTCTGCTTTATTTTCCACAGGGCTTATTTCCGTCCACACCTCCTCTGGTCTCATCCATGCTGATTCCAGGGTACAGCTTCTCAGATCCAGGTCCATAATGTCAAGTGTAGCCCTGCCCACACCACCGCTTAATGGCCAACCCCCCCACCCACCACAGTCTGATGGAGCCTCTGTCAACCAGGGATGCTCTTATTCCCTGAAAGAAGAAATTTAAGTATGAAATGCACACACTTCTATATCCCCAGTCTCCTCTCACCCATGTCAACGTGCTAAAAGGGACCCTCATCTCTCTGGACTGGAGAAGAGGACCATCTCTGCAGGAGTGGGGAAAAAGACTGGGGGATAACTGCTTTTTAAACGAATGATATGACAGTGAAGAAGAGATCCTGGAATTTGTAGAGTCCCACTTTAGGGAACAACTTTGCACCACTATTCCACCATCACTCATCTTTCACCAGCATCTCCCTACCCCAGACCTTAGCAGAGTCACCCAACCCTTTTTTTTTCAGTCTCCATCTCACTGTTTCCTGACTCCAC